ACTTGCATATAATGTATTCCAGTCAAATTCACTCCTTCCGTATCACTCCCACAATCCCAACAGGTTTTATTGGTCGATTTTTATACATATCTATCACCCTCTCCACTGTCAATCACAGTTCTCCATTCCTCCCACCTCCCCCCTCCCCCCACACCTGCCTCCTAACGGGGCCTTTTTCACTTCCGGTCATTTCTTAGTGTATATTAATTGTATAAAGGGGCTTCACAATGGTATTTCACATGCGCATATGTCATATTTTTGTCTGATTAACCTCCGTGGCTCTCTCTCCCATTTCCCCATGCCCTATTTTTCAAAAGCTTTTAGTGAATTTCTTTATGCCATCTTCATATGTAGACACATGTTATTTCCTTCAGCATTCTCTTTCCCTTTCCTTCCTCTCATTATCTCCCCCAAACAGTCCCACAGTTACAATTATGTGTGTGTATATGTGTATGTATGTATCTATGCATATGCATGTCTTTTAGATGAGTGAGAACATGTGATATTTTTAGCTGTTGGAGCTTGGCTCTATTTGATAGTTTCTAGTTCCATCCAATTTAATATGAAGGACATAATTTCACTTTTCCTTATGGCTGAGTACTGTTTCATGGTGTGTGCATATGTGCAATAGTTCCTTTACCAATTCATCGGTTGACGGGCAAGGGACAGTTTTTTGAACCCTGGATCTATATAAAACAGACTTTTAAATCAGTGGGAAAGGTAGGCATTCCTAGAAGTGTTGCTGAGACCATTGGCTGGTCGTGAAGGGTGGGAAAAGGCAAGATTCTATCTTAGACTGTTTCCTGTTACCTAGACTGGGTAATTCATAAAGAAAGATTATTTGGGTTCATGTTTCTGAAGCTTCAGCTCAGAAGACAAGGGGGCCATGTAGAAAAGAAGCCCAAGATGGGCTGGGAAGGTGGCTTAGTGGTAGAGTGCTTGCCTCGCATGCATGAAGCCCTGGTTCAGTTCCTCAGTACCACATACATAGAAAAAGCTGGAAGGGGTATAAGTGGTAGAGTGCCATCTATGAGCAAAAGAAGCTCAGGGACACTGCTCAGGCCCAGAGATCAAGCCCCAGGACTGGCAAAAAATAAAAAAAAGCCCAAGAAAGCTGAGGAAGATCTCTCTTTTTTTTCTTTCTCTTTCGCCAGTCCTGGGGCTTGAACTCAGGACCTAGATGCTGTCCCCAAGCCTCTTTATGCTTAAGGCTAACTCTCTACCATTTGAGCCACATGACACTTCTGTTTGTTTGTTTGTTTTCTGAGTAGTTTGTTGGAGATACGAGTCTCACAGACTTTTCTGCCCAGGCTAGCTTTGGACAGCCATCCTCAGATCTCAGCCTCCCGAGTAGCTAGGATTACAAGAGCTACAGGCACTTGGCTCTTTCTCTAGTTTATCCACTTCCCCTTCTGGAAGGGTGCACTTCTACTTTGCTTTGCATTAGTAAATCTGTTCCTTTTTAAGTTGTCTCTGTGTTCATCTTTGAAATTTTCCTCTAAGAAGACCAAGAACTTTCTAGGTCCTGGACCCAGTCATATCGATCCAGTAATAGATTCTCTAATTTGCTGCATTATCTCCCATGTACCTCCAGAGGCAAAGTCCAGGTGGGCACACCTAGTTTGGCCTTTTTTAGTTCCCTTTCCTGGATGGTAGCTAAGAGGGTTGTGAAGGAGACTACTTCTCCCCACCCCCTGCCCTGTTTCCATAAGTGATTGTGAGTTTTCTTCCTTAATCTCGTCATCTCTTCCTCTAGGAAGCTGGTTTAGCTGTTGGATAGCCAAAAGAACTGTGCGTATGCACCTTCACTCCTGCAAAGAAAAGCGTATCAATATGTCATCTACGACCAGCAGATTTCTTTCTCATGTTTCAAGTATCAAATATCGATCAAAATATGACTGTCAGCCTGCTACTTGTGAGCAGAGTAGGAAGCACTTTAATACATGAATCCTTCTGCAACACTGATAGGATGTCCATATCCAATGGTGAGCCAATGGGTTCTTCTGGACCCAAGCCTACATTTAAGTGAAGGTGATAGATTGCAAACTGAATACAAATATGATCAAGTGTTACAACTGTGAAGTACCAAGAAAGCCTGCCCAAGTGCTGCCTTCCGGAGCCGTGATACTAATAGCAAAGGGAAGCTTTTTCAGAAGAGGATCAACTAACGGGGTGCAGGCATTCAGGGATAGGTATTCACTGCCGAGTGTTGGGATTGGGCAAAGACCTGGAATGTGTAGTCTGAGATTCACTGTGTTTTCCTTCAGTGACCTGATAGCTTTCTTCCTGTGGTCCAGGGGAGGAGTTTCACCATACAGTGAGCTACTGGACACTCAGGACAAAGTGGAGGTCGTTCGTTTGGGTCAATGTAGAACACACCAGCACTATTACCTTAGGACACTATTATGGGATAGGAAATAAAGGTGATTTACTCTGAAATGAGTGCAAAGTGTTTTTCATGTTTTTAAAAGGTGAAGGATGTTCTCTTCCCTGATTTCTCCCTTAATTTTTTTTTTTTTTTGTTGCTTTGTAGGACTTAAACTTAGGGCCTGGGCATTGTTCCTGAGCTTTTTTTTTTTTTTTTTTTTTTTGCTGAAGACTAGCACTCTACTACTTTGAGCCACAGCTCCACTTCTGGTTTTTAGGTGTTTCATGGGAGATAAGGATTCCATGGACTTTCCTGCCTGTGCTGGCTTTGAACTGCAAGGGGGCTCTGAAGCCCCCTGAGTAGCTAGGATTATAGGAATGAGCCACCAGTGTCTGGTGGTCCCTCCTTCCCTTCCTTCTTCTCCTCTTCCCCCTGCCCCCCCACCCCCATACTGGAGCTTGAATTCAGGGATTGGATACTTACTATTCCTTAGCATTTTTGCTCAAGGCTGGTGCTCTATCACGTGAACCAGGTGGTTAATTGGAGATAAGAATCTCATGGACTTTCCTGTCTCTGTTGACTTCAACTTTAATCAGTCCTAAAATCTCAGCCTCTGGAGTAGTTAGGATTACCTAAGATTACAGGCATGAGCCACTGGCACCTGGCACCAGTCTTCATGTTTTGAAAAGGTAAGGGCTCTCTCTTCCTGAATTTCTGTCTTCTGTAGTAACCAGGACCCAGGCTAGCTCTGCTAGCAAACAAAACATACAGTGGGATAGGGGCTGAAGCACCTTCAACACATAGTGTTTTTTTCTTTTGCACTAATTCTTCTTCTTCCTTTCCCTTTCTTTTTTTAAATTGAGCCAATGTTTAAAAATACGATTCCCACCTTCAGATCAGATGATCTGGCAACACCAGATCCTCCTTCTCACTTGGGAACAAAAAACTGAAGCTGAGAATTTACAGTTTGTCACTGTCCTTAACCTTCTTTATTGTTTCAGGAACGCTGAGAGTCTCTTGAAGTATGAATAAGTCAACAGATCATTCCTCCCCACGAGGCTCCGTTCACTGCCGTGACCCACCTGGTCCCACTCACAGTTGTGTCTGTGACCCTTGATTTAAATCTTTAAATCAAGCTTGGGTTTGCATACGGGTACATTTCAAAGGCATCGAATTAAAGGCTAAAGAATCTTCGTTAGTTCCTGCTGGGCATTGTGCATGGAACCTAGAGGTGGTTGAAAGTAAGAGTGTGAATTGAAGACAGAATCCACGTTAGTTTCTTTCTTTGTAGTGTTCCCAGTGGCTGGCACATAGTAGGCCCTTTATTGAATAACTGAAAGTGAACGAATGAATGATAGGAGAGGTCAGTGGACTAGTTTTTTTCCAGAAAAGTCATTCCGATAACACTGTTTTCCCCGGACCCCAAGTCACAGCCTGGAAGGCAGGGCTGGCAGAAGGTAGCAGGCTCTGTGTGGCACCGGGCTGGTAGCCAGGCAGTCGGGATCTTGCAACACCCCTCACGTGCCAGGAAGGGCTGGCTCGGCCACGGCTCTGTCCACCTCTCTTTCGTAGTCCAGTGAGGGCAGCAGCCTGACTTCTGTACTTTTCCTAGATCTCCTCCATCCGACTACCAACAAGCCCAGCAGCAGTCAACTCTGCTTCCACGCCTGGACCATGCCCAAAGTTGACATGGCCGCTGTGTGGCTTCACGACGCGGCACCGCGCCCGGAGCCGTGCGTCATCGCAGCCGGCTGGAGACCCGACTCCATTCCCACAGTCAAGATGGCGTCCGGAACGGCTTCAGCGCGGGGCGGGCGGCGCTGGGAGGCGGTCACGTGAGCGG